TGAAGCTGGAAACAGATGCTCCCAACTGACGCGTCCAGATGGACGTGAAGGGATAAGTCCTCCCTGTGGGAATTCTGGTTTGCAGTCCTCCTAGGCGAGTTCTGGTTCGCCTCTCAGCTGTATGAATTCAGGGACTACAGCCGTTATCAGGAAGAGCCCCTCAGACAGAGAGGGAAAGGAGAGGACGTTTTTCTTGCCCAGTGCCAGTGAGCGATGTCTCCTTAATCGTCCTAGCAAGCCCGGGAGCCATATCCCTGTCCCCACCTTGTGGTCTGCTCTTTCTCCTATGCCAAGTGACGTGCCCATCACATTCTCTACTCTGCCCAAAGGTGACCACGGAATCGTGCCAGTTGTCTCTTCCCACTAAGACCTGGGTTCTCAAACCGTGCGCCGTCATCACCCACGAAGCTGGTTAAACGCAGACCCCTGGGCCCCAGCCCCAGAGTGTGTGAGTCTGTAGGTCTTGGATGGGGTCCAAGGATTAGCATTTTAACTGTCACCCCAGAGGCTCTTGGTGACAGTGACCCATGTGCCATGCTTTGAGAAACGCTGAGTCGTTTACTGATCACACTGAAATTGTGTACAAGTATCTACGTGCATTAGCTCTGTGTGTGTGTGTGTGTGTGTGTGTGTGTGTGTGTGTGTGTAGTTCTGGAAGGATGGTCAAGAGAATGTCAATAGTGCTGACCTCTGGGTATAATGAGATTTCAAGAGATTTTAGATACATTTCTCTATGCTTTCCTGTATTTTAATTTTTTATAATGAGCATATAACTTTTATAAACAGGTAAAGCCATCAAGCCTTTCTCATGGGCCCGGAACAGCAGAAATATTATAGAGGAAATATTATAGAGAATGTAGGTTCGAGGGAAAGAAGGCCACAAGTGTAAATGAGTCTCTTTTAACACCAAGAGCCAGTGTCCCTCTCTCTGTGGCTCCCGACTCCTGAACCGGCCACTGATGGCCTGGAGAAGGGAGAAATGTCGCACCTCCCATTTTCACATTGTTTTTGGCAGAGCCGGGGACAACGTCACGCCTGGGCATTTGGGATGGTGGAGTTGGGCCAGAAGGCTGGGCCACCCTTTCTGTCTCGGGTGCTGGAGTCCAGGGCCTCACGAGCTCCTCCTCCTCCGTGCTGCCCCGGCACTCGGGCACCCTGGCCAGCCAGCCAGAGCTGGGATGGCGCTTTTACGGTGCTGTTATTACCCTATTGTTGCCCAGGAAACCCACACCAAGCCCCCCAAACACTCCGTGAGAAAGCCAGACCCTTCCAGAGAAACTGTTTCCTACACCTTTACAACGTGATAGGTGCGGTGGAGAAAAGGGGCCGTGGGATTTATGGAAACTATATAAAGTTTATGGAGTCTTGGCAGGCCAGAAGTAGCAAAAGCCTGCAGGAGGGGGGTGGGCATTCGAAATGGAAAAGGCCATAAAAGAGCGTCAGACACCAGACAAAGTCCCCCAAGTCCGGGGCATGCTGTGTGACTGGGGGGCAGGGTAGCAGCCCTTCTGGAACAGCTGTGGCGATGCCTTTCGGGGTGATCCCACTGAATCTTCACAGCATTCCCGTGAGGGAGGCACGGTCATTCTCGTTCTGTAGAGAGGAGACTGAGGCAAAGGCGCTTTGGAGGTTATGAACTTGTGCAAGGTCGCACAGCTGATGGTGTGTGGCTTTCAAGTGGATGATCTGAGGCAGGCTGAATTCTTGCAGTCTCTCTCTCCTGTGTACTGAGCAATGTGTCCCAGTTTCAGGGCCAGAAAGTATGGTCTCCATACCCTAGTTCAGTTTGGGATTCATCTGCTATTTGTGATTAGTCTCACGGTCCCCTGGTATCCTCGGTCATCATCTTGCCCTCCCATGGGTCAGCTTTGCTGCCGAAGCTGATTGCTGCCCAGATTCGCCCGCTGGCCTTGGCTGGATCGGAAGTGAGGCTGCCCAGAGGTTAGCTCTGGATCAGGGCAGGGCTAGCATGCTGTCTTTGCCTTCAGGAGCCCCTCCATGTCCCACTTCTACCGTGGGATCCTCTTAGGGCCCCTGGAGGAGTGCCCCATGAGATCTGAAATTGCTCGCTCCCATCCCATCAGCCTTCAAAATTTCTAATTCATTTCTACTTCATATGTGCCTTGTGGCATCCATGTTTTCTCTCTCCTGTGTGGCTGTGAATTCTTGGAGCACAGACTCCATGAATTCTTAGTCTTTTCATCTCTGATTTTGCCCACATGTCTGGCATAGTCCCAGCAAGGAGTAATCACTGAATGAGTATCTGCTAGGAGAATGGATGGATGGATGGATGGACGGGTGGTGGATGGATGGATGGATGGATGGATGGATGGATGGATGGATGAACCGACAGATGGATGGGTGGTGGATGGATGGGTAGGTGGATGGGTGGATGGATGGAGGACAGACGGAAAGATGGGTGGGTAGGTACACAGATAGATGAGGAGTATATAGAGTAACAGACACCTACTTCCTCATTTACACCCTCAGCACTGTTAAACTAACAGCCTAGCCCAGGATCTCTCAGGCTTTCACTGAATGCACTTCTGTTTCAGCAAACATACTTCGCTCTTTCTGAAGCCATATGGAGAAACCAGCCTGAGGGTTTGAATGTGTGTGTAAATACTTTACAATCCCCATAAACTTGTTTAAAGACAGGTGGGGGTGAAAGTATAAACTGGGGCAGCCTTTTGGGAGAGCAATTTGGAAGTAGCTGTTAAAATTTTAAATGTGCCTACCACTAAGACCCTGCAGCTCCACTTTTAGTCGTCAAGCATGAGAAATATATTCATACGCTTGTGCACAAAGAACCACGTAGCAGGGTGCTTGTACAAGGAGGCTTGTGGCTGCCCTGCTCATAACAGTGAAAAACTGGAAATAACTAAGTGTCCATCAACAGAGGGACGGTAACTGTGGAACACCTATACTATGGAAAAAGCTGTAGAAGTGGAAAGATCTCTCTGATCTTCTGGAAAGTTCTGAGACTCTGTAACAAATGCCCCCTCCTTATCTCATTTCCATCAATTTCTTTTCCTTTCTCCCTCCTCTCCCTACCCACATAACACAGTTCCCTGGAATTAGATCTTTAATCCTTATACCTACTTGCCAGTGACCTTCCCTTACAGAAAAGGAGGAAAATGAGAGAAAAGCAGTTCTGTGCATAATTACTGTCTGCCAGCTCTTCAATTAAAAAGATTGAAAGGCACAATATTAAACTTTGATTTATGGGCACCACTATCTACCTAATAATGAGGCTGAGAGGGAAAAAGAACCACAGTCGTTACAGAAAACGCAGCCTTTTTTCTCCCCCAGGAGATAAATTGCCTCTCATTTTCTTATTGCTAAAGAAATGTGAAATGGTTTTAAGTGTATGTGATATGTTCTTCCAATATGTTGAAATCCAGAACTTAGTCATTCAGGAGTCATCTGGCTCCGACATTTCTAGGAAGCTTCCCGAGAGTGTAGCAGCTTGAAGCTGCCGGTGGGGGGGTGGGCGCTGCCACAGTCCACTGGCGCCCAGACCCAGGCATTGGCACTGCCACCCATCCCGGAAACTCCCTCCGGGTCCCAGGGCACCAAGCCAGCCAATGCCACAGAGCTTGGAGGGAGTGGGAAGATCACAGAATCCAGTTCCAAGTCCCAACTTTGCTGCTTACTAGCTATTCAACCCTCAGTTTCTTCATCTGTAAAATAGGAACAGTAACCTTACTAATTGTGTGATGTTGGGCAAACGCCCCAGTTTTCCCATCTGAAGGTTGTGCTAGTCCCTGCCTCTGAGGGTTGTAGGAAGAGTTAAATCAGTGAATTCGTGTAAAGTGCCTAGATGGGGACCTGCCACATTGCGAGTCCTCGGTAAATACTTTTTAAATCATTGTCATTACTATTGCCGACGCCTTTGCTGTAATTGGAGGAGTTGGAATTCAAACGCCGGCCTTCCATTTCCAGGGCGCTGGCTGATGGGGGGCGGACAGACCTTGGGGTGACGCCCAGCTTCCTCTCTCCAGCTGGTGCCTTGGGCAAGTCCTGGTACCTCACTGGGCCCCATTTTGTCCATCTGTGAAATAATAGTTTCTACCTTGCAGACAGTGTTGTCAGGTTTAAAGATTAATGGAAACAAAGTGTCCGGGTCACAATTAGTGCTGGATAGATAGCAGTAACCCTTGAAAAGGAAAGATCTTTCCTCAGAAACCTGTTTGGGAAACGCTCTCCCCTGGGAGGAGGGATGTGTGTCTGGTTTATGTCCTCGCTGCTCACTGTGGCTCTGCAGCAGACGCCTGCAGAACTCGCCCTTCCTGGAGGGCGCAGAGTGTTCCCTGGCTCTGAAAATAAGAGCTACAAAGAAAAAGAAAATGAGCAACCATTGTGCCAAGAACTGTGTTGAGTTGATTTGAAGGATCACAGGTAATTTTTTGGTAGCCCGGACGTGAGCTTCTTATTTTCATGGGGCAGATCAGACATGGGAACAGGTGCCTGGCCCAAGGGCACAAAGCTAGGAGGTGACAGTCTGACCCAGGACTGTCAAATTCTTTCTGCTACTCTCTGGCACCTTCCAGAGCCCCCATCCCAATTCCTAACCAGTGGCCTCCCCTCCTTCTTACCCTGTCTCTCCTCCATCCCAGCTCCTCAGACCCATCGCTGCCAAGCCAGGTGTGCGGTGCCGTCACCCTGTGGTTTTCGTGTGTATCTTCCCACCAGTGCTTCTTAAGCTGGAGAGGCGAATGCCCAAATGCTCACGTTACGTTGTGTAGAACGTTTTGTTCTGTGTGTCTAAATTCATGGGTATTTAATCTATTGAAGATGCTCTGGGCTCAGGCTGGGGAAAATGGATTCTAGGCGCCACCTAACCACCTGTCACCCCCATTCTGGGAAAGCCTCCGTTCATACATGGGACCCTCCGGGCCTCTGCCTGCCGTCCTCCTAGGATCCCCCCTTGGGAAGAGGAGGGCGGGGTTTTGCACGTGTTTCTTTTTGCCCAGCTGATGGCATTTCTCTATTTTCAGTTGAGAGGGAAAATGTGCAGAAGAGGACCTTCACTCGATGGATAAATCTGCATCTAGAGAAGGTAAGCGGGCACTGGCGTTCTTGGTAAGTGGTAGGTTTGTCCGTAACTGAGTGTACAGTTCATAGTGCGGGGAGGGGGAAATGGTGGCTCTGTTAGTGTTGTTGATATTTTTTTTCACTCATTCATTTAAACACCTATGGAGTGCGTTCTCACTGCTGGGTGTCAAGCTAGGTGCTGGGAACATGGAGTTAGGACATATGGTTCTCTCCTCCTGGGGTTCTCAGTCTCATTGGGAAAGAAGAGGTCTGTCTTTAAATAGGAATGGATGAGCAAAAGTAGAAGACGTTCATTGTTGGAAAAATCCAAACCCTTCCATGGGCAGGAGGCGGTGCCCTCGGGACGCAAACCCAGCGAGGTGGGGGGCATCTTGACTTTCCATAGGGGGCTCTCATTCAGAGCCAGGTGAATTGATTTATGCAAGAATTCTTGATGCCTTTTAACAAAGCCGGATTCCCTTGTTAATCATGTAATGTTGCTATTGATTAACAGTATTACTTGCCCCTTTTGGTGCATCCAGCACCTGCCTGGTGCATCACACATCTCCTTTATCCTCATGACGATTCTCGTTACCCCCCACCCCTCCTGTTACTAATGAGGAAACAGAGGCTTCGAGAAGTTAAATGGCTTCCTGCAACCCCACCACCAAGAAGGAAGCTCTTCCTGTGGCCCTTCTTTCCCCCTTTTTCTTTCTTTCTAACATTCTCTGGCCAGGCCATTTTGAATTGCATTTTGTCTGCAAGCTTCTCATGCACACACTCCATAAAACAAAAGCACTCAACCAGCTCCTGCTGAGAAGCAGACGAAAGGATGAGCAGCAGAGGAGGGGCAGGGACTGACGTGAGGTGGATGAACAGCTCGGAGGGAGAAATCTGAGCCCTCCTTACCCACTAGATTAGGCCCCGAGGCAGGGAACATTCTAAGTTGCCCAGGGCTGGGGGAGGAGAGATTATTTTTCTCTTTGTGAAACAGCTGATTTATCAGGATTCATTTTACTCACTGCACTTCTTTCTTAAATTCCACGATCTGGTTCTCCGAACAGACCCAGCCAGTCCTCTCATTTCTTTTTAAAGCTGGTAATTTTCAAGTACCCCACTTGAGTTAGGTTAGAAATGTATTTTATTCTCTCCTTTCCTCTTAAAAGGTGCAGGAGTAACAATTGACTGTCCTTCGAGTTAACCCAAAAGAAAGGTTCTTAGAGGAAATCATTGAAATGATTAGAAAGCAGAGAAAATAAGTGTGGTTTTTAGGATATAGAGCTCTTGACGGAAATTCTAATTCTCACAGTTTACCTTTAGGCCTGTAGTGTTTCCCAAGCAGGCCTTTGACCACCCACACCTCTATTCCCCACCTGTAGAATGGGTTCCCCTTGACTCAGGAGGTTCCCGAACTCCTCAGGTGAAAGATTGTATGTCACGGATGAAGCATTATAAATCGTTTGCCAGTTGTTTTGACTGTTGGGGCATTTTAAAGGCAGTGCTCGTAAAGCGAAGTGTTATTTTGGGAAAAAAAGGAAACCCGTTCCCCAAACCTGAGTTCATTGAACTCCTAAATTAATGCCTGATGTGTGTCAGGGTAGCTGGAAATTCCTCCTGGTGGACGGAGTGTAGCCATGGCGTATTTCATTCTTTTTTTTTAATTAAAAAATAAATACAGCAAAGAGCAGAGGGTAATATAGCAAATACCCAGGCACTCACCTCCCCCCACCCCTAGTGAACCTCTGTTACTGTTCATCGTATCAAGGATGTTCTCCCTGGCCATGCTTCTTCGCCTTTTTCCGGGCAGGTGGGTAGCACCCACTCTGAGGACAAATCAGATAGCGTCTGAAACTGATGCCTAATAAACAGGGCAAAATTAACAGCCATGTTTCTAACCTTGAGACTCTCAAGAACCACCTTTCATGTAAAGGAAACCCAGGAACTCCTTGGGGAATTGGGCTTAACTGCAAGTTGAAGGCTGTCAGAAATATTTACTGAGTCTCTGGCTTCTGGAAAAATTCCTTAATTTACCGAAGGAGTTAGATCATGAAGAGAGCCCTGGGGGTGCTGTTTATTCGGCCATACCAATCTCGTGAAGCCCGCGGAATGTTTGGGGCCCGAGGAGTGTTTTTGCTGGAGCCCGTTCAGTTTCTCCTCCTGCCATCTCACAGGATGGAGTCCGGCCAAGGCCCCATTTGCTGCTGCGGCTGCGGCTCTTACAGACACTGTCAATGGGAATTATTCTCCAGGTGGAACACAAAAGCAGGGCTCGGCCACGGTCGGGCTGGTAACTGGGAATTTTGTGAGTCCATCTATCAGGGGCTGTTTTGTTTGGGTCTCACGTTTTCTGCCTCGCATTAACAGGAATAACATTTCCGTAAGAGGCTCGGTAACCTGATGCCCTCATGCTCCGGTGGAATGCACCCAAGGAGCCTCAGGAGTTTGCAAAGAAAATAATTTGCCTTTTGGTTCAAAGTCGCTGCTGTCCTTGAAGCAAAGCCCTTTTCTGTGCACCTGTGGGTGGAACTGCCCAGTATTTTGACTCACTGGGGGTCAGGGAGCTCGTATAAGGAGTAAGGAAATGCCACCTTCCTTAATGAAAAAAGAAAACAGAGACCCTCGAGGCTCTCACCGGGAGGAGGCCTTCCCGGAGGAAGAGGGTGCCTGGGCCACAGATCCCCCGTGTTTCCAAGATTTTCCTTACTACTGGCTCTCTGGTTGGTTACAGCTGCCACCACCCCCATTAATCCTGTCTCCTATGTGAACACCCCCTTTCATTGTACCCAGGAGCAGAGAGAGCACCCACCCTAACTGTCCTAATGTTGCCAAAGGCCCCAATTCCAAAAGGTAAACAGAATTCATGCCAGGGTCGGGGCTTATTAAAAATGCCTGTTTCTGGACCCTGTTCCCCGAGATTCTGCTGCAGCAAGTGCTAACCGTGCTGCATTAAAGGAGTTAGTATCAAGCTTGTTTAGTCAACAGAAAGCTTTCTTCAAGCAAGGTCTTACCTGGAACCCTAAATAAAGACCAGTAAGAGCTGAGCCTCTCTGATGAAGAGGGGGCAGTGGGTCAGCCTCCTTCTCGACGCCCCTCGGCCACCATGGGGCGCCCTGCGGCTGCTCTGCTGAAGCCTAGGGTTCCTGGAACACAGTTTGCAAATTCTTTCGCTGGAGCATCTGACCGACAAGTTTCAGGTGAACCCATAGACTGCAGACTATGGCCAGCCAAGCTCTCGGTGGACCCCATGTCGGACGGCATAGTGTCGGTTCACCTAGACCGTGGACCTCTCCAAGTGGAGCTCAGAGAGGAGGGCCAGGGTTGCTCGGGCTCTTCCCACCCAGGCCTTCTCCACGCTCCAGATCCTGTGTGGGGAGTTGCCTTTTCCCCCAGGGAGAGGGAGGAGCCTGGGTGACCTGGGGCTGCCTTTTAATGACCCAGGGAACCCAGAACAAGAATTGGGTGGGGAGGAGAGAGGGTGATTCAAGAGCCGAGCCCTGCAGAGGGCCACCAGCTAAGGACATCTCCCTTTCCCTCATAAAGCCGTGAGGCACACACCCCCTGGATGAAAAGCCGTACTGCAGAGGGCACCCCAAGAGTCTGCAGGAAGGAAGCCACTTAATAGTAAGCTGGTTTTACTGATGCTGTTAATCTGAGAAGGCAGGTGCTGTGGCAGGCTCTTCTCCTGCATGGTCTTGTTCTATTTGGGCCCCTGTCCTCTGAGCCCTTGCTGACGAGGACTCGCAGGCCCAGGGAGGTTAAGGAAAGTGCCCAAAGCCAAGTCCCTGTTGAGGGTAGAGGCTGGATTTGAACTCAAGTGTGTTGCTTTTCAGTGGAACAGGTAACAGGTGCATCTTGAGACAACATTGGTTTATCTCAGGAAGCCTGGATTTTGTGGAGGAACAGAGGGAGTGGCGTTCAGCTGATTAACTTTTTTTTTTTTTTTTTTATGTGAGGAAGATCAGCCCTGAGCTAACATCCATGCTAATCCTCCTCTTTTTTTGCTGAGGAAGACCAGCTCTGAGCTAACATCTATTGCCAATCCTCCTCCTCATTTTTTTTTCTCCCCAAAGCCCCAGTAGATAGTTGTATGTCACAGTTGCACATCCTTCTAGTTGCTGTATGTGGGACGTGGCCTCAGCATGGCCGGAGAAGCGGTGCGTCGGTGTGTGCCCGGGATCCGAACCCGGGCCACCAGCAGCGGAGTGCACGCACTTAACCGCTAAGCCACGGGGCTGGCACTCAGCTGATTAACTTTTTATACAATTTTAATTAGTTTGATTTGTTATAATGAGCATGTATTACTTTTGTAGCTAAACATATAAATATGTATGAACACGTACATGAAAATCAGCCTCTCAACCTTTGAGTTCCTGACAGACCTACACACTTGGGGTGGAAGGAGAGATTCTCTCCCCTCACCCAACCATCGGCCGTTCAGCAGGCCCGCCATGTGTCCATCCACCCTCCGCTCCCTCCCAGGGCGCACACACCAGCCACCTTCCTGACTTTCTCTGCCAAGGGGCCTCACCTCCAGACCTGGACTAAATACTGATGAAGTGACAGCGGGCTTCAGACAAGTGCACCTGTGGAGACTGGGCAGTACTGAAGATGGGGGGGTCCCTGCCGACACCCAGTCTGAGGCCCAGGGGATCACTGAGCAGGGTTATGTCATCGTGGTGGGATCCGGGCTGCACTTGTGGTTAGCCGAGGTGTCCTGATGAGGAAACAGGGCTATACAAAAGACGTGACTTTGCCAAACACTAGGCACACTGCCCAGCCTCTTTGAGCCTCAGTTTCCCCAAATCTGAGGTGAAGGGCTTGCTCTAGGTAATTTCATGTGAACCCTACTTCTAGAATTATTTTATTCTGTGGAAGGCTATAATCAAGACATGCATTTCTTTCTTCCCTTAAGGAGGAATGTGGATGTAATCTACTTTGGGGGTCTGATATCAGGTTAGAAGTGTCCCCAAGGGTCACTTGTTCAATCGGCCCCCTGACACTGTCTCCTCCGTGGCTCTCCAGCGTACTCGCTGCCTGGGCGCCACCGTCAGGGGGACGGGCTTACCACCTCCTTGGACGGGCCTTGCTGCCTGTAGGTGGATCTGGAAGTCTGGAAGCTTTCTCTTGAGTGAAACCTGCAGCTCTGAAGTACTTTTGTGGATGACACATGTCACTAATCGGCTGCTTTCTTTTGCCTTCTTCCATAGTGCAACCCACCTCTAGAAGTGAAAGATTTGTTCATTGATATACAAGATGGCAAAATCCTAATGGCTTTGTTAGAAGTCCTGTCTGGGCGAAATCTGGTACGTATGTCACAGAAGGATTGGGAAGAAATAAGACGCAAAGGAGAACAGTGCTGAGGGTTTCTTTTCAATACAGATCTATATGTGTGTACACATACCTGGCCATACGGAAGTCCTATGGCAGGAAACTTGGAAGGTGACATTCGTTTCTCAGTGTCTAAGAGTGGTATTATCATGGGTAACCAAGCAGTATCTTTTTTCTTTCTTTTTTAGCAAATATACTTTAGTAAGTAAATAAATAACTGCTCAGTGTTTTGAGTCCTTTAAGGCTAAAGATTGGAAGTAGATCATTAAAGTTTAGCTAGCCAGTGATTATATTAACTAGAATGATAGCTAAGAATCAGGAAGATGGAGTCTAAAGGTAGAACTGCTGGCTTCTAGAACCTTCTTGTAAGTATGACCGACATTGAGTTGAACCAACTGATCTTGAGGTTCAAGATCCTGTGCAAGTCTGCTATGTGCAGGTTGGTCCTCTTGCTCCCCTTCAGAGAGCAGGGTCTCTCAGCCTCAGCACTGTTGACATGTGGGTTGCATTGTTCTTTTTAGTGGGGGGCCGTCCTGGGCGTTGCAGGATTATGCAACAGCATCCTTGGTCTCTACCCATTGGATGCCAGCAACACCCCCAGGTGTGACAACCAAAAATGTCCCCAGACATTGCCAAATGTGCCCTGAGGGGGCACAGTGATCTGGCCAAAATGCCGGTGGTGCTGATGTTGAGAAACCCCGCTCTAGAGTCAGGTGTGTGACCCATCGTGGCTGATACAGAGGGACAGAGATGGAGTCCCCTCTCTGCCAATCCACAGCTCAGCCAGTGCCGACCTCTCCCGATCTGTTGTTAATCGTAGGTTAAAGGTCAGGAGCCCCTGCTTCTGTTCTCAGATCTGATGTAGCTGGAATCTTATTACACCCTTCACCCTTCCCATCTTTGCTCTCCCCCCGGCAAAATGGGACATGCCCATTAGCCACACCCCAAGGGGGCTGTGCAAAAAGTTGCATAATGAATTCTAATGAAGGGTGGACCCATTGAGGTAAAAATAGTATTTGGTTTCTCAGCAGGTCTTGCAATGAGCCAGCAGCATAGTCCCCAAAGGGCTTGCTGAAGTGTATTAGAGTCCCTTGTTCTGTGTTCCCAGCAACACAGGCTCCCACTTCGTGGCCAGAGCACTGGTCGGTGCTGCCACATGCTTGCTGGGCCTCTGTTAAGAGTCTTTGATTCTGGAGCCCAGCCAAGAACAGGCCTCCACTTACCGGTTAGCTCTGCCTGGCGGTTCACACCTGACCCCCGCTGATTTGCCTTGTCATGTAAACCAGCCCCTGGAGCAGCAGCAGTGTGCTCAGGGTGGGTCACTCTGATGGGGCTCCCAGTATGTACAGCTAACGTCAGCGTTTAGCTCTGCCGGCACCTTTCTCTCTGTCTGTGTCCCACTCTCTGTTTCTCTCTTTCTCGGGATCTCTTTCTGTCTCACTCTGTCTCTCTTTCTGTCTCTGCCTCTCTCCTCCCCCTCTCTGCCTGTCTGTCTCTCTGACTCTCTCTCCCCTTCCGTCTCCCTCTCCCT